ATGAGCTGCTCTTTCTCCTGAAAGCCCGCAGAGCCTTAAGCAGGGCTTGTCTGCCTTCGAGGGCCACATGCCTACCCAACAACAAGCCTCCAAATGGAATTGGCTTCTAAGAGGCACGGTCAGCCTTCTTGGAGACAAGCTATGGGTGGCCAGGAAAGACTAAAGGCCATCTTAGAGTAGGACATTAGTGCCTTGCTTGGGAATGACCCCATGTCCTATCCCATGGGTTCCATCTAGGCATGGCGTGGCACCCTGGCTAGGTGGCGCTGCCGGCGGTTAAGGGCCATCTACACTATCATGCGCTGGTTCCGGAGGCACAAGGTGCGTGCTCACCTGGTTGAACTGCAGCGACGGTTTCAAGCCGCACGGCAGCCCCCACTCTACGGCCGTGACCTTGTGTGGCCACCACCTCCGGCTGTGTTGCAGCCCTTCCAGGACACTTGCCATGTTCTCTTCAGCAGGTACCATCCTCAGCCCTCCATATGATTTCCCATTTAGTCAATGTCCTCTGAATCCTTGAGCCTGACTGGGAGACCCAGCCCCATCCCCTGAATAAGCAAGAGGATAGGGTTGAGTAGTATTAACTGGCCATCAATGTACCATGACTCTCCTGGTCCAGTGCCATGGTCTTCACAGGGGAAGCTAGTTAGGGAGGCTGGGAAATGGGGACTCCATGTTGGTATGAACCTGGAAGTCTGAGTAGTTCTCCAGAAGGAGGACACAAAGCAAGTGTCAGGCTGAACATCTGTGAGTTTGGAGGTTGTCTTCTAAGGACACACATTGGGTACAAAAGGTCAAGGCCAGAGAGGTAGGCGGGGATTGGGATCCAAAGGGCAGTCAGCATCAGATGAAGAAATGGCTCTTTGGGGGAGGAGCTGGAGGAGCTATGAACACAGATAGGTGTCTTCTGATCCTTGTCTCTTCAAGGTGGCGGGCACGACAGTTAGTGAAGAACATTCCTCCTTCAGACATGACCCAAATCAAGGCCAAGGTGGCCGCTATGGGGGCCTTGCAAGGATTGCGTCAGGATTGGGGCTGCCAGCGGGCCTGGGCCCGAGACTACCTGTCCTCTGTGAGTATCGGTCCGGTCCAGAGTAATGCGTGCTCAGAACTGAACTAACACAGGCATGGGTCTTACCAGCTATTCTGTCCATCCCGGTATTGTCTGGCCTGTTGAACCCTCTTCTTAGCCCTGCTCCAAAGGTTCATGCTTGAGGTTTTGGGATTTTACAGCCATACCCAATCCTGGATTCTGTTGAGCAACCCCTGCCCCCCACGCCCCCACCCCGAGAGTCCTGTGTTCTCAGGTACAGTTGCCTTTCATATTTACAGTTACCCATTCCGACACAAGCACACACAGGCGCATGCATACACATTCTCTCACATGACACATTTACCAATATTCCTGTTGCCATGGCTCCCTTCACCTTCTCTTGGCTATTGTCAGTTTGCCTTCTCTCTAGCTTGCCTTCCGTTGCTGTGATAAATACTGTGATAAAAACAACCTGGGTAGAAAAGGGTTCATTTCAGTGCACAGAGCACAGTGAACCATCCAGTGAAATCCAGGCAGGAACTCAGGGCAGGAACTGATGCAGAAACCACCGGGGAGTGCTGCCGACTGTCCCCCTCTCCTTGTCTCGCTCAGCCACCATTTAGGTAGCCCAGGCCCACCTGCCTAGGGATGATACCACCCACAGTGGCCAGGGCCCTCTTGCATCAGTAAACAATCAAGAAAATATAACGTAGGCACTTCTCAGGTGTGTCAAGTTGGCAACTAACATTAGCTATGACACCAGCCCTGGGCCTGGTCTCCAGAGTACTTCTGTGTGGTTGGGTGAGACGTGCAACCCCTTCATGCCTTCTGGAGTCTTTCTCTAGAACGTCCACATAAAATCCAGGCCAGCCAGGCTAGTGTGCAGGAAGAGGAGACAACTGTCCAAACAGTGAAATTCTGTGCCCTCCGCTCTCAAAGAACCCATGTGCTCAGTCACAGAAGTACAGGGCCCTGACTAAGATTCACCAAGGCGGAGAAGGATAGTTGTGGTATCTTGCTGAGAGTTTCTGTCAATCAAGCACGATTCCAGACCCCATCCCAAGCACCCGCTTTCCATCATTTGTCCTCAGGACACTGACAACCCCACAGCTTCTCATCTGTTTGCCGAGAAGCTAAAAGCTCTTCGGGAGAAGGATGGTTTTGGGACCGTGCTTTTTTCCAGTCACGTGCGCAAGGTTGGTACTTGGATGGAGGTCACGGGGCACAAAGATGAGAGGCACTCAGGGGAGACCTAAGACAGCCCCAGCCAGTTCTGGTGGCTTCCGATACCCTAGAAAGCGTCATCCTCGGTCAGTCAGTGAGGAAAGGGCAAAGAGAGGGAGGACGTTGGGGTTGCTGGGCCTGGAGAAGGATGGTCAGTACCAGCCTGGGCCCAGTCAATTCCTCTGCAGGTGAATCGCTTCCGCAAGAGCCGGGACCGGGCCCTCCTGCTCACCGATCGGCATCTCTACAAGCTGGAGCCTGGCCGACAGTACCGGGTGATGCGGGCTGTGCCCCTGAATGCGGTGAGCATGGTAGACATTCTCCACCACGTGTAGTGTCAGTGAGGACCCTGGACTGGGAGCCTTACCTCATCTTCTCCATTGTTTATCTGTCCAGGTCACCCTCACTCAACAGATGGTAGCACTCCTCTGAAAACCCTATAGTAACTTTCTTTCTCAAGTACCTGGATGCCCCTACTTCATGTTTTCACGCTCTAGCCAAGTCAAATAGCCCCTCTCTCTTTGGCGTCTTAGAGAATCTCCTGTCTGCGTAGATCTGAGCCCTCACCATAACTTTCAGTCACCTCCTCTGGGACACTGTCTCTTCCTCTGCCTGGCCCTATGGCTACTTGGTTCTTTGCATGCCAGCTTCATTCCCAAGAATTTTCTTTCTGATAAGACAAGGAGCAGCCTGAGACAGGGATCGGGCTCTGTTACCTCTGAGTCTCTCACCTCTGGTGACTCCATTGCTATGAGAGCCAAAGGACCAGTGGTATCACTCTATCTATGGGATATAGTAGCCATATCCTATTGCATGATGTCATGCCTGTCTTCCCCTCTGTCAGCAGGGATCAGAGAGGGAAGGCAGGGATGGCAGAGGGTAGCTGGACACTAGAGTAGACACTCTGCCAAAGATTGGACTCCCCAAGTGGGGCTCGGGAAAGTCTTGTTGGAAGGAAGTTGTTTGCTTGATGTGACTCTGACCCCAAGCTGTCTGCTCAGGTGACAGGGCTGAGTGTGACCAGTGGACGAGACCAGCTGGTGGTGCTACACGCCCAAGGCTATGATGACCTTGTAGTGTGTCTACACCGTTCCCAGCCACCACTTGACAATCGCATTGGGGAGCTGGTGGGCATGCTGGCTGCACACTGCCAAGGGTGAGTCTGGGGTCCTTTAGGGAAGTGGGCATACAGAACTCTACCACCCTGACCTTCTGCTCTTCCTGCTGCAGGGAGGGGCGAACCCTGGAGGTCCGTGTTTCCGACTGTATCCCACTGAGTCAACGTGGTGCCCGGCGCCTCATCTCTGTGGAGCCAAGGCCAGAACAGCCTGAGCCAGATTTCAAATGTAGCCGCGGTGCCTTTACCCTCCTCTGGCCAAGCCACTGAGCAAGCCCAAGTCAGTCTAGCTTGGTTTCCACACAGTTCTAAAAACACCTGGTCTTGCCTTGGCCACACCAAAGGCCAGGACTTCTCTGCCCCTGCCTGGAACATCACACAATAAAGATTCTATATTTGTGTCTAATGTGACTGTTCCTGCTGCCTTGCCAGTGTTTACCCAGCATTCCCTGCTCATCCACTGCGGGTCTGCATAAACTGAAGCAGGAGGCCTGAAGACCCAGTCTGAAGTGTGTGAGAAGACCCCAGATGTCAGAGCCTCAACCCACAGTCAGGCTACTTTCAGAGCCCATGGTTGGAGGGAAGTGTTCTCCATAAACGTGCTTCCCTGGACACCCAAGGCAGCTCTCATGGTCTGCCTGCCTCTGCCTCCTAAGTGCTGGAATTAAAGGTGTGCACCAGCACTCCCAGCAAAAGATTTTATTTTTAAAATTATGTGTATGTGTCTATTGGTGTGTCCCTATGAATAAAGGTCATCTTATTTTTTCCCAAATAAATAGGTTTCTTTCCTCTCTTTTAAAAATGTTTGTGTGTGTTTATGTGTATGCCTGGTGTCTCTGGAGGCCAGAAGAGGGTGTCAGATCCCCTAGAGCTGGAATGTTAGGTTCTTGTGAGCTGCCTGAAGTGGGTGCTGGGACCCGAGCTCACCTCTCTGCTGAGCCATCTCTCCAGCCCCGAGACTTTCGTTTGCGATAGTCTCACGTTGTGCAGGCTAGCCTTGAACTCCCTAGGTAACTGAGAACGACCGTTATACCCCCAGAGTGCTAGGACTATAGGTGAGCAGCACGCACCTGGTTTGTACAGTGTAAGGCACAGGTGGAGACCAGCATTTATTACCATGCAAGCCCAGGTCTTCCTGCAGGTCAGGTGAGCATTCTACCATGTGTGCTGCATCCCTATTCCCAAAGGGGACCTTTCAATCATCAGGTCTCACACAGTCCGAGACATTAAGTGTCTCCTGGTCTTTGGGAATTACCTCACCAGAGAGTGGGCAATATCTGTTCACTTTGATCTAAACCCCCAGTTTTTAATCTCTGGGAGAGTCTAGAGCAGCCAACCTCAGCCTTTGGGTCCCGACCCCTTTGGGTCTCATAGCGGATATCTTATATATCAGTTATTTATATTACCATTCATAACGGTAGCAAAATTATACTTATGAGATAGCAATGAAATAATTTTATGGTGGGAGCCACCACATTATAAGGAACCGTATTAAAGGGTCGCAGCGTTAGGGTCCCACATGACGAGGAACTGTGCTAAAGGGCTAGAGCATTAGGAAGGTTAAGAACTTCTGGACTGGAGGCAATCCACAGCCGGACATGGTTTCCAGAGCGAGCGCCCTTCGCCATGCCTCGGGAAATTGAGGAAATCAAGGACTTTCTGCTCACGGCCTGGCGGAAGGATGCCAAATCTGTCAAGATCAAGAAGAACAAGGATAATGTGAAGTTCAAGGTTCACTGCAGCAGGTACCTTTACACCCTGGTCATCACAGACAAGGAGAAAGCAAAGAAGTTGAAACAGTCCCTGCCTCCTGGCTTGGCAGTAAAGGAGCTGAAATAAAGCAGACCTCTGTGTTTGACTATTAAAAACTCTTAAAAAAAAAAAAAAGAACTTCTGGACTAGATAATCCTTGTTAAAGAACCTTTAGAACTTTGCTTATTTGTTTAGACATTAAAAATTTTTAAATTTGCTGGGCGGTGGTGGCACACGCCTTTAATTCTAGCACTCAGGAGGCAGAGACAGGTGGATTTCTGTGAGTTTGAGTCCAGTCTGGTCTACAGAGCTAGTTCCAGAATAGCCAAGGCTGTTAAACAGTGAAACCCTGTCTTAAAAAACAAACAAAAATTTAAACATACGTGTGTGTGTGTGTGTGTGTGTGTGTGTGTGTGTGTGTGTGTGTGTGCATGTGTGTGTGTGATGAATACATATGCCACAGCCTGTGTCTGAAGGCCAGGGGGACAACCTTGTCGAGTCTGTTTTCTCTTTCCACCTTTACATAGGTTCTGGAAACCTAACGCAGGTTTCAGGCTCACACAGCATATACTCTTACTACTGGGCCAGATAGACAGACACGTTTTGTTTATCCCTTCATCAGTCAAATGGGTATTTGCATTGGCCTCTTCAGACAACGATGCTAGAACATCTGTGTACAAATTTTTATGTGGATGCATTTTTTTTCAATCCTTAGCAAGCATCTAGGATGCAATCTCTGAGTTAAATGGTGCTAATAAATTCAACTGTCTGAAGAACCAGAGTGGCTGCGCCATTTTACATCCTCGTCAGCAACAGGTGAGTGTTCCAGTTTCTCTGCACGCCCACCAACATCTGTGACTTTTCTGGAAGGGTCTTGGTTTTTCAGTTATTTTTTGTCTGGTTTTTCGGGTTTTATTTTTATTTTATGTCTATGAGTGTTTTGCCTGAATGTATGTCTGCACACCGTGTGCACACCTTGCCCATGGGGGCCAGAAGAGGACATTAGATTCCTTAGGACTAGAGTGACAGACGACTGTGAGCTGCCATGGAGGAGCTGGGAATCAAACCTCAGTCTCTTTAGGAGGGCAGTTATCCATCTTAGCTGCCGAGCCATCTCTCCAGGCCTATTTTTGCGGTTATTCCTGCGAGGGCTGTTCTATTGTTTTGTTTTGTTTCAGGCAGGATCTTGCGTTGAAGCCACACAGCCCTGGAAAACTCACTGTATAAATCTGGTTGTCCTCAAACCTGCAGTGATCCTCTTGCCCCAGCCTCCTACATTCTGGGTTTCTAGGACTCTACCTAGTTTTTTATTATTTAAAAATTAACTCATTTTGCTGATTAATGTTTTCTATTATAGCGCTGGGGATTGAACCCAGGGCTTTAGGTGACCTAGGCAGATGCTCTACACTGCACAACTTCCCCAACCCTCATCACTGCCTTTCTTTTTTTCTTTTTTTTTAACAAATGATCTCTCTCTCTCTCTCTCTCTCTCTCTCTCTCTCTCTCTCTCTGGAGACAGGTTTCTCTGTGTAGCCCTGACTGCCTTGTTAAGTAGATCAGGCTAGCTTTGAACTCAAAGGTCTACTTGTCTCTGCCTCTTGAGTGTTAGGACTAAAGGTGTGTGTGGTGTGTGCCACCATCACCTGGCTAAAATCTCATTTTCTTGCCCAAGCTGATTTCTAATTCCTGAGCCCAATCAGCAGGAGTAGCTGGACCACAGGCTCATGTCACCCTCACCATTCCATACCACAGGCTCATGCCACCCTCACCATGCCGGACCCCAGGCTCATGCCACCATCACCATGCTGGACTGCAAGCTCAAACCACCATCATTATGTCTTTCACTTTTTTCCCCCCTTTGCATTTCTCTGGATCAACCCCAGGGATTGCTCATACGAGGCAATCACTGTGCTACTGAGCTACACACACAATCATTTCTCTTTCTTTCTTTTTCCTTTACTTTCTTTCTTTCTCTCATCTTTCCTTCCTTTCTTTCTTTTTTCCTTTGCCGC